ATGCTGCGTTCAAGTCCTCCTGAGACGTTCGTACTTGGGAGTTGACAAGTCGTAATTACGACGTCAGGTGCGTTCAAGTCAGTTTAGTCGGCACAAGATGGCGGTGTACCTTCTTTTAATAAATTACAAGAAAATACAACAGGGTCTGTTAACTCTGCTTATAGAAAATGAAGAGCAAAGAATTCGCATCAGGTGTGTTTTGCGTTTTTAATATTTTTAAAAAGTAATTTATGAAGCCACTTTAATCTGTATCGCATAAAAACTTCATAAAAACTATCAATTTAAACAAAAATTTACAGTCAACTACAGACGTTGCATCCATCGATTCCGCCATGTTTCTCATTGACACGTCCCCAACTTGGAAACTCGGGGCTTAAAGAAAATTTCGAGTTTCCCACTCGTAATAACGACTTTGTGGTGGCGTTCAACTCGTAAATACGATCTATCCGACATGACGCGTTCAAGTCCTCCTGGGACGTTCGTACTTAGGAGTTGACAAGTCGTAATTACGACGTCAGGTGCGTTCAAGTCAGTTTAGTCGGCACAAGATGGCGGTGTACCTTCTTTTAATAAATTACAAGAAAATACAACAGGGTCTGTTAACTCTGCTTATAGAAAATGAAGAGCAAAGAATTCGCATCAGGTGTGTTTTGCGTTTTTAATATTTTTAAAACATGCAACATGGCAAATCAAAAGGTTTTTCACCTATAGGTGCAAAAATTATAGCATTTTTTACTTGGATTTCATTAACTAGCTGCGTAACAAGAACATGACCAATTTAAGTTTATAGGACAACTAAACTATCAATTTAAACAAAAATTTACCGTCAACTACAGACGTTGCATACATCGATTCCGCCATGTTTCTCATTGACACGCAACTCGGAAACTCGGGGCTTAAAGAAAGCGTGTTTCCCACTCGTAATAACGACTTTGTGGTGGCGATCATGTGCGTTCAACTCGTAAATACGATCTATCCGACATGACTTGAACGCACCATATGACTAATTTCACGGGCCAAGCAGACAAAATTACAATTTACGTATGGTAATTATTATTATTTTTATTTTTTACAAATAAAGCTTCATATTATGAGAAGGATACATTCTGCGACTTATCCTGCAGTCATCATGGTGAGATTATGTTCCTTCAATCTAAAAAAATAAGAATCGAAAAAGAATTGAAAACAACAGTGAGGAATCGATTTTTCGATTCTTTTGCAGAACCAGGAATCGGAATCGGACTCGATTCCAAAAATTTCGGAATCGAACAGCCCTGTGTTCCTGGTTAAGACTCAAGACATTCTCAACAGAGCGACGAATCGACGAGTCACTATGGAAACGGACGCTAAGAAAAAGGGCGCCATGCTGTTTCTTTCTTCTTCTTTTGTTCAGTGGCCGTTTACATGCTTAGTGCATATCGCCACCTAATACAGGTGCATCTCAATAAATTAGAATGTCGTGGAAAAGTTCATTTATTTCAGTAATTCAACTCAAATTGTGAAACTCGTATATTAAATAAATTCAATGCACACAGACTGAAGTAGTTTAAGTCTTTGGTTCTTTTAATTGTGATGATTTTGGCTCACATTTAACAAAAACCCACCAATTCACTATCTCAACAAATTAGAATACTTCATAATACCAATAAAAAAAAAAACATTTTTAGTGAATTGTTGGCCTTCTGGAAAGTATGTTCATTTACTGTACATGTACTCAATACTTGGTAGGGGCTCCTTTTGCTTTAATTACTGCCTCAATTCGGCATGGCATGGAGGTGATCAGT